CTGCGCAAAAATACCTCTGCAGAATATCTCCAAAGTCCGCCCGAGCCTCTGAGGGTTTACCCGAGGTCAGTTTTCAGACAGCAGACGGGGCTTATATTCAGCTTGAAGCTCTGCGTGCCATTCCCAAATTCAATCAATGCAAACCAAGTTAGGCGAGCTGCGTGCAGAAATCATCCCATGTCCACGCTCCGTACATGTCGCACCAGTTAGTTTACTGTCCGAAATGTGCTCATTGTGTTCACGGCCCGCCCTCCTCCACAACAGCAGGCCCGCATACAGTGAGAGAGGTGCCGCAGAATTAAAGAGAAACACCCAACCAGACCTTCAGCAGATGCACTGACACACACGCTGCTGTGCTGTGGCGCACAGTAAGACTAGACAGTAGTGTATGTAAACCGGGAGGACACTGGTTCAGCAGCTTGTCCATGTTTAACCATCAGAAACCCATGTGGACTCTGAAGTTTCAGGGCGGAACCTTCCGTGAGAAATAAATATTCTCCAGCTCATTCTGTAATTTTTTTTTTTTGATTTCATGAACCTCAGCATTTCCAGATTTTTCAGCCTTCCAACCCTCTTTAACAATCCCCTGCAACATACAGTGAAGGAGCAAGTAAAACCATAAATAGGCTAATAAAGGGCTGTTGGAAAAATTGAATAATTTTATTAATCAACATCGTATTTTAACTGAATGATTATAGGCTCTTAAGGCTGATTAGTCATTTGCAATTCCGAGTTTTACTATAGACACAGTTTAGTGTACAAGTCTTCTCCTTTTCGTGGACAGGTCTGCACATTAACGTAAATTACAGTAAATATTGTATTGACACTGGCTGGAGAACAGCTTTCACTGACAGACTACATCAGGTTACTGTCATTTTTGCAGCTACAATGACACCTGGTGGAGATCAGTGACAGTTCACTACTACTATACTGTTACAAACAGATATTGAAGCCTTTCAAGTGGAGGCGTTGTAGTCACATCCATTTATTAATTTCTAAACTAATAGAAATGAATCGGTCAACACCTGGTCCCCTGAGAGCTGCATCACTGTAAAATTATCTGGCATTTTGACAAACCATTTGCATGATTTGTGACTATAAAATAAATATTAGCCTACATATTTCTATTTTATGCTACTTGTTCTTCTACTCCAAGACATTTCATAGGAGAATATCGTACTTTGCAGATTAGGATTTTACCTACAAAACATATGATCGATGTATAAATATGATGCAGCGCTACAGAACAGTGTATCAATAAATGGTTAAAATGGCCTCCACAAGCTACAACAGTAGTACAGGTTCTGTAAACAATCACCACCGTGTCAGATGAAAACAAATGCTCCCCCTCCTCTGGTGTTCTCAGTCAGCAGCAATGTGTTGTGAAGCCAGGTAAAAGCGGCCACTAAACACACAACAGAAAGCTCAACTGAATAAAAAAATACCCAGCAAATGAGCCAATAAAAAACAATGTAGCCACAACCATTACCCCAAGCTAGCACTGCCGTGATATGCTCCACAGCGATGCTAGCAGTTAGCCAGCTAACGATCGCAACATTAGCCGAACAAATTCATAATATTGGTAACAGCAAGTTAGCTAACCTTATCATGGCTACTATAGCCGGACACTAACGAAAACAGACATGTAACATTATGTGGCAATCAAGTTACTTACATATGGAGAAGAAGCCAGTTCCGAGTCAAGCTGTAGCTCTTTAGCCGCTTGTAGGGCTCTCCATCTCGGTAAGACACACCTGTATTAGCACCACGGGCGGGCTGGAAAGAAATTCAGCCTTGGACTTATCTGCTGGGAGCAACCGCATAAACGACTAACTGACAAAGCCCGTAAAGACACTGCTGGGGCTTTACAACAAAACTTTAAAAACTTCATGAATTTGACAGTCAACCGCCCAACTGAAATGTGCGCCGGTAGTCCCCAAGGCCAGTCCAGCTGTGCTCTGCTGGGGCAGGTTTCTCAAAGGCAGACCTTGACTGTGGCTTAGACATAACAAATAGTTAGACCCAAGATAGATGTCTAAATGTATCTGTTGCACAAAGCAGTTTCGTTGCTAACCATCTTAAACCAGACTGTGGTACAATGAATTATGGGTTTTTCGATACAAAAAAATGGCTGACCAAGGACCTGCACCCAACCTCTCAGCTCCAAGAACCCCAGCAAGAAAAACATAAAAGAACATTTAACTTGAACAGAAAAAATGCTCGGGGCCTCTTTTCATTGCTGTCTCCATAACAATGTTAGCAAACCAACCGTTTACTGTTTTTTTGTTGTTGTTGGGTGCTACTGTTCAGTGCAGGTGTCACTGATTACAACGTTACCATGGTAACATCGGTTTTAGGCTTGAGTTAGTCTGGGGGAAAGGTCTGTAGTATTTTTAGCTTAAAATGGGTCAGTTTCTATTTTTGTGAAACGGTCTTACTTGCATTAGACTAATCTATGAACAAAATTAACACTGGACCAACATTACAGAGCAGTCTTATCTCTTTGTCAGAGGCCTTTTGTCAGCCGTTTCTTTCAGTGGAGGAAATTCTGGAGGATGCCTACACCTGAATGCTGCATACTGCACTGTGCTATCTTGAAGTGAGGAGGGCCAATGGTTTAATATGGTGGACTGAACTGCACTAACATGCACATGTACATGCATTGAAATGCACGCGCAGCCAGACCGGATATCAAAACAAAGAACAGAGAAACTCAGATTATAATACACACAGAGGGGGTGTGACTTCATTTTCTGCTCAGGTTTGCTGCTGTATTATTATTTAAAAGCTCATTTACACAACTTTTACACTTAATATATCATCAGTATTGATTGTACTTTTACTAAGTTAAATTTTGACTGTAGGACGTTTACTTGTTCTACATAGTGTTATTACTACCTTTAAAAGACATGAGTACTTCCAACACTTCTTGCATATAACCACATGAGAAGAATGACTAGTGACTTTACATCAGAATGCAATTTAAAACACTGATTTAAAACAGATGCAATAATAATGTCATATTAACATTAACATTTTAACTGCAGGTGAGTGAAAACATAATTTAAGCACCATGTGTGTCATTATGTAGTATCATACATTTGATGCTATTTAATGTCACAAAACTATAACGCTACTGGAGATAGATAGACAAGTGAACAATATATGTAAGTTCCCAGCTTCAGTGCTTGTTTTCTTTATTATAAATTAAAAAAAACAACAGAAACTATTTGATCCGTAAAAATCCGACTGATGTTTCACAGTGTTGATAACAGCCACTTTGAGGGTAAAGGAGTAAATACAAATAAATGCTCACATTCAGAACATCAACACAACGACAGAATCCAACTGGTTTAAGGTTTCTGTGGCACTTTTCTACTTGGCTTTTTAAAGAGCGAGACGTGGTATTTCAAGAACACCTCACACAATAACTGTACTTTATAATACACATTTACACAGCACTGTCAACTTGGCAAACTGACCTAATAAATCTGGTACATTCAAACGTAGAAAAACAATGTCATGGAGTGAAGTTACTGAGTGCCAAATAAAATAAATACAAAGTCAAAGAATAAGAATGCTTGAATACTGCTCAAGGGCTTCTCACTGTAGAGCAGCTTTAGCCACAATGAGACACTTAAAAGTGCAAATAAGAGCTTCAGAAGGAAATAAGTGCTCAATGTTTTCCACATGGGTCAACAGATAATTGTTTAAAAGTGGATATTTTCCGTCATTATAAAGAAACTGTAGCTTCATAACTCAAGGTTGAGACAGAAACAACCCACATTACATAATTTCTGACACACAGCTTTAACACTTTACACTGTGGAGGTTTTCTAACAGGTTTAAGGCATTATTATATGGCAGCTGCCTTAAACCAAAAGACTTAACGTCGGCCCATCCTTACACAAAACGTCTTCTACGAGCGCTGCAGCAATGTAAGGGTGGAGTGTTTGTAAAATACAGTAAATTCTGCTTGGACAGACATTACAGTTGTATTCCTACAAGCCTTTAAGTATCGGGATGTATAAAATTAGCTATGCCATAAATATCAATTAGAGTAAAAAAGAGTAGTGTATTTTGTGTTTCCTAGTTTTCAAGGTTTTTCTCCAAACCTGTAACTAGAAGATTTCCATTAGATGGAACAAATATCAGATCAAATTTAGGAAACCACCGTTTGGTTGAAGTTGTACTGAGAAGCAAATGAAGAAATTCCTCAGTATTTTATAACGCTGAAGATTTCTGTGTGTCTAATTTTATAGGTGCTCTGCAATATGACACATTTTGTTTTAGTTGCATTTCCTGAAATCTGCTGTAGGAAGTTTAAAACAGACCAACCCGAGGGGAAGTTGAGCACATTGAAAAGACTTTCTTTTTAAATGCATTTTTCTGTTTAAGAAATAAACCATGACGCGTCAGAACTGGCTCAAATGAAGACAAAAATGGAAATGTTAAGTGCAAGACTACAGGTAACAAAAACATGACTTTCTCAGAGGCACTCCTGTAGAAAGGCTGCAAGTAAAGGTGCTTCGCCGATAACGCAGAATTTTGCGTAAAAATATTAAATGCTACTTACCATGATGAAGGTGATGGAGGGTACAATGTCAGTGATGGATGTAACAAGTCTCTAACTTGGGCAGCATGAACACAAATAGTTTCCTGATGACCTTTAAATATGGATGTTAATTGTGAGAAAATGAAACAACCTGTGTGTATAAAACAACCTCCCTGTAAAGAAAACAGGAATATTCAATTGATAGTGACAGAACTGCTCTTTAAACCATAGAAAAAGCAGCAAATGGAAGACTAAAATTGAGTTAAATTTAAAATGTACCTTAAGAGTCAGATTTTGCTGAACAAAATTTTATATATAAAAATGGCAAAAAGCTACAAAACTACTTGAGAAGAGGACTGTAGTTATATTCTGTGTGATAAACTTCTTCTGGAATGTTTTCTTCACTGTGTGAAGTGACAGGTTAAGGTCAGTGTTTTGGGATATGTTGTTGTACAGCTACATTTCAGGCATTTGTCTTTAATTTCTCCTGTGACTTCAATCTGACTGGCCATTCTGGCAGCCTTTTAAATACAATTCGTCCTGCGACAGATGTCCGTCAAAGCTGTCCATATAGAGGCTGCTGGTGCTGCTGCCGCTGCCGCTGCTGCCGAGGAACGTACCGACCGCCCGGCCCTGACGAGCGTGACCAACGGCATCACTGAACACTTTGTTGATCTGCTCCTCTGACGGCATCCACCAGTCTGGGTTTGAGGCACAGTGCATCCGGATGAACTCTTGACAGGGAAATTTTGAATCAAAAGAGATTAAAAACATTTTTTTTAATTATTGGAAATCGAAGAAAGTGTTTCAGGGTTTTGAGGGTGACACCTACTGACTTTTGTATTGTATTTGTAATGTAAAGAAAAACATATTGACTTAAATCATAACTGGATTACATTCACTTTACAAGTGTTAATGCTCAATCTTGTATTTTGCATTGATCTGATCTCTCTGTCTCAACTCCATACTTGGAAATGAACCATATGTGAGATCAGTGTGAACAGACCTCTGCCTTTAAAGCAGCTATAATAGAAATTTCTATAAAAACAGTGTTTTATAATGACATTGTGAAAACAATGTAAAAGGGGGTCGCTTGTAATCATGAATCTACAGAGAATTGTGATTGTACAGAGCTTTATAGTGACTTTCAGATCATTGTTAATCTGTCCAGCACACAAGTTTACTATATTGGTTCACTGTCCCCACTCTCATTGTGTCGTTTTCAGCCGCAGCAGGCAGCTGACTGCACTGACTGTTCAGCAGCAAACAGCAGACAGACACAGTTAGAGATGAGCTGGGGAACACAGTGGAGCATTTAATGGCTAAAGAACCAGATATTTCCCTCAGGAGTTGGTAGAGCCCAAAAGAGCTATAAAAAGGCTGAATATTTACACTTACAATCACATGGTTTTCAGAAACAAGACGCCGAATGATAACAACTTAGAAGATCAAAATATGTGAATGCTCACGACTTGTTTCTGCTGCCCCCAAGCGGCCAAAAAAAAAAAAAAAAAAATTGCAGATATTGCAGGTTGAAAATGACAGATCACATAGACAACACCAAATATGTGAGACAGTTTATAGTGAAAATAAATTGTATGATAGTGAGGTGATGAGGATGAGAAAACAAACAATGGCAAGAAGCTGAGCTATAGCTTTTCATCAGCTACTGTTGGTGTTTTTTACTCTTTTTATGACCTTTTTCACACGTCTTTTAATATTACCTTGTATTTCTTTTATATTTTGTCTCAATGCCCTTTTTATGTCTTTTTATGTAAAACACTTTGACTTGTTGAAATGTGCTGTACAAGTAAAATATGCCTTGCCTTTCATTGCCATCTGTTAAATCTGAAGTTATGTCAACAATAACTGGATATGTATCAGATCTTAGAGCACATATGAAGATAACCCATATCCATTATGAAATTTGAATATTTTTGTTTCCAGACTGTTCAAAAAATCTCATCTGTGTCAAATGTGTTTGCCATGTGAACATTGTCTCAGTTTCACATAGTTATGAGCTCATAAATAATGAGCACTGACTTGACAGCTAGAGCTGCTTTTCAAATGTGAGCCATGGGCTGTAGAAGAGGAATATTCAAACTCAAGTAAGTTCAAATAATCATTCAACCACTGAGTAATATTTCATTGGCTTACAGACTGAGGCATAATGTGAACAGTCCTCTACATCAACGGACTCCTACCTACCTCTGAGGCAGCTGACTTTGACGGGGTTGAGCGGCCGTCTCTCCAGGCCCGGCTCCCCTGAGTGGACTGAACGCTTCCTTTTGCCCAAACCACAGGAGAACTTCAGCTCGTCTGTGGTGAAGACGTAGCGTATTAGGTAGCGCAGCAGCCGTCTGCCATCTTTCTTTGAGGAGTTGACGGCTTCATCCCATTGCTTATTAGTGATGAAAAGAGGATAATTCTCCAGGAGCTGTTTACTGCCCTGCAGGGAGGACGAAATTACAGGAAGTAATGGTCTTACTGCACCATCGTTTACCTACTTATTTAAATTGCTGTAATGCAACTTCACATAGCAAATTTGACTGCTCTATCTAAAGTTTTATCATCTCTGATTACACAAATATACAAAAAAAACTTGCATAAATTATGACAGACTTAATGAAAACACCAACCTCAAAGACTGTTTGCCGTTCTTCCTCCTGTAGAGACAGTTATTTAAGTTCATATTTTAATTACTAATTAACAGCATGCAGACATTTCTATTGCAGGATCTGAGCTGATATTTTCACACTTTAATATACGCTATTGATAACATGTGCTGCAAAGAGCTGTGAATAATGTAAAGGAACCTGTTTCCTCACCTCTGTGAGCTGCTCCTCTGGCATCGACTGGACCAGCTGGTTGTGAAACTCAAGAACAGTCTTGAAGTAGTCAAGAACATTTTGACAGGGAACTGTACAAAAAAAACACACAAAGTAATGTGACCACTAATACAAACACAGTGATGCCTCATCTGGTGTATAATTAAACAATAACAATCCTGCATCTTTTTCTTCCCTCCTGAAAAGATCGCTTTGACTCGGATGTCTGGTCATTTTGAGATCTGATTCTGCACTGTACATTTAATGTGCAGTTAGAAAATTAGGTGGGTGTGACACTGGGGAGCAGAAAATTTAAGAAAAATAGGTGCCATTAAGACTGTAGTTCCAAACAGTGTGATGCATTTAGATAGCATGTTTAACCTTTGGACTCGGGCCTGAGAGCCACAGACAGGCTCGGGAAATCAAAACGTACTGACAGATTAATGCGACGTTGGTTTGGTCTTTTCATGGGAAGAAAAATGTAGAATAACACAGTCGTTATCCTTTAACTTGAGTTGACAAATTAAAGGAAAACCTCAATTAATCTGTGAGTTGATAATCTTGTAACAGTTTTAGAATTTTTTCTATTTTACATATCTTCTTGTTCCAGCTTCTTAAATGTGAGGATTTGCTGTTTTTCCTGTTCATGTATATTAATAACAATAATATTAAGACATCACCACCTGGGGCTCTGAGTAATTATAACAGGTAGTTTTCACTATTTTCTGGCATTTTAAAGACAAAACAATTTGTCAGTTAAGCGAGGAACTAACTGGCAGATTAATCAATAATAAAAATTACTCTCATTACTTGCACCCCTAGAGTGTAGAAACACAGTGAATTTAGATGTCTTCATACACTCACTGAATGCTGTTCTTAGTATGAAAATGATTTGAATCATGTGTTGTGGCCTTTACAGTCTCCAGATCTCAACTAATATGAACAGGTAGGGGATAGTTTGGAGCTACACGTCGGAAAATTATTGTCATCAAAACACCAAATGAGGGAATGACATTTGGAAGAACGGTGCACATCTCTCAAGTAGAGTTCAAAGACTTTAAGACTCCGGGAAGGAGCACTGAAGATGTCATGGTAGCTTTAATTTGATTTGTCACCCATCTGTACCAGCCCTAGTATAAAATGTCTAAACTCATCCGCAGCTCAGACTCAAAACCCTGCGAGGTTTTTCTCTTTCATTACTCCACCTGGGATGTTCTCCAGCTTATTGCGGAGCTCCTCGTTCTCCTGCTGCAGAGACAAAACCTCCTGCTCCAACTCCAGGCAGCGTGGACAGCAGTTCTCCTCCTCCTCTTCCTCCTCAGGCAGCGTGGAGGACGGGTGGCCGTACGATTCGGACGGAGTCGGCGAGCCCCAGCCTCCCAGGTTGTGACTTGGAGGAGACACCCCTGAACCGGGCTCTGCCGACGGACACTGCTCGTCCTCCAGACCTGCAGCCAGATGTTGCTGCTGCTGCTGCTGAGGCCCTGAGAGGAGATAGTTCTGTAGGGAGTCTGTAAAGATGCGGAGTACGGCAGAGGTCTGTTGTTGGTTCAAATGGCTTTGTTGAGCCTCCTCTTCTGGGTCTGTGGTAGAAGAGCTTTCTTCAGGTTTGGACTTCCCCAGTGAGGTGCAGTGAAGCCCCTGAGTGTCTTCCAGCTTGATGTTAGAGGTAAAGGAGGAGGAGGAGGAGGAGGTGGAAGACTCCAGGAGACGGCCGTTGTTGAGGAGGCTGAGGACTCGGCTGCACTGCTGAGCAAAGGCATCCAAGATGAGACGGTTTTCTGCGGCAAAGAGAAGTCAAGACGTCAGAGATGGTGACAATGGGCTCCAGTGGCATTTCATCTCCAGGTCAGTCATCCTTATATGATCACATGTTCCTAGAATCAAAATACATTTGAGCAATTCGACCTTGGAAACAGCAGTTGACAAAACACTCACCTCAAGGTCCATTTAGTAGCTGTTCTGGAACTTTTAACTCTATTACAAAGTGCTCATCAGCAGATTGAGCTTGCTCAATTGCCATGAGAGGGAAGTAAAAAGACACAAAACCAGTGAGGCACAAAACACTGAATCACTCATATTGTTTCCAACTATTAAACATCCACAGTTTCATGGCAATTAAGCAAACTCTATCTGATGCAGACTGTGATGTGATTGAAAGCTCCAGAACAGCTACTAAATGGACCTTAAGGGGAAATTGGTTTGTCAGCTGATATTATTTTCTTTGTTTCTTTATTATTAACTGTCCTGAAACACAATGGTGGAGGAAGTACTCACATCGTTCACTAAAATACTACTTACGCTTTCTGTAACATCTGTAACATCTGTATTAACAATCTCATAATTTGGGGTCATGAGATGATGGAGCAGTGAAGAGGAAGAATTCATGTTTTGGCCTGTTTTCTAATCTTTGCTTTTATTGTGAAATATTGGATAATCTGATCTCTTTGGGTCTCCACAACTTGTTTAATTGAGTTTAGAAAGGAAATGTCTCTTTGGTGAAACTTCGAACAACTCATTGAGATCTGAAGCACGTCAAGGACAAAAAGACACTGAAAAAAGTTAGGAGCCACTAGTCTGATCTTTAGTAATGACTTGTATTTTATAAGCCTATTGTGTGTCTTTACAGCAAAATCCAAATCTAAAGGAACTCCAGCTGATAAACAATTGTAAGGGATTAAAAAGTTTTATATTTGCCTCTGAAATATATTGAAGTAGAAAGTAGCAGAAAATGAAAATACTCAATACTACTGTACCTAAGTTACTTACTCTCCACCGCTGCTGAGGTATAATGAAGTCTCCTAAAGGAAAGCAGCACACTGATGCACAGTGATGGAAACAATATGAGCGATTTTGTGTTTTATGCTTCACTAGTTTTGCTTCTTTCCACTTCTTTTTTTTCCTTCTTTTTAACTGTGTCTTGTTGAGGTAAAGCTTTCCATTACAGTAGCATACAGTAGGCTCCTCTGTTGATACAAATGTCAGCTTCATTATGCTGATTTATTCACATGTCAATAAACTCTAGAGTCACAGTATCTGCTGTGACCAAACCCAGCCCAGCAAAGAAAATCAGCACAGAGCTATTGTCCAGAAACACGACTCAGTGTATAGTTCCCCTGGCAGTCCAGGCACGTCTCAATGAGATGATCTCACACATACCTCCATGTAATGATTATGAGTCCACCGGCCTCACACACGCACGCACACACACACACACGCATACACACACACACACACACACAAATATACACACACAGACAAAATGAGTTCTAGATGGCCACTGCTGCGTTGCCACGCGCTCAGACGTGTCTATCAGCCTGGCGCAGATGTGTCGCATTTATTAATATGCGTGCTGTCTCTGTTTACCCGTCGAGATGTATCTGATATCATTCGCCTTCACCCTGCACTCCCCACCACCACCCCCATCCTCACCCTCCTCTCTCCTCTCACCAGTTCTGTGGCACTGTGAGCTGAGAGCCTCATAAAATTTCATTAAAAACAACACGCTCGGCAGAGGCAAATTTATGAGCCCCATTTATTTTAATCACAACTCTTTGGGAAAGGCTTCTCAATGCAATTTGTGTTATTGTGTGCTGAACTGATTGCTGGGTCCCTGGGTCTCTGCTGCTTCTCTTCATGAGAAGGACATCAAGTTCATTTTTTTCCCTTTTCACACATGACATTAAGTTGCTCCCATCGTGCGGATAAAAGCACTTTGATGTGTCATTATCAGTAAGAATACATGGCACGTGGTGCATCTTGTGTAATGTGAGCAGATTCATTAGAGCAGGGGAAATATGGTTTTATGTTTGATTATTTCATAAGTAAAATCAGGACCACGTGCAAACATCATCACTCAATCCTGGGAGTTATACTTTCAAGGAATCAAGTTGGCTTGCACAGATGGAAGTGGGTTGAATGTATGATGTTAATGCACTGATACACAGGTTTTCCAACTCACATGTAGGTTAGTTAATGAAGGGCTACAGTGCAACCTGAGCTCGCACTGAAGACTTGATTGGCTGTAAAGCAACAATAACCAGCAGCAATTTGAGCCTCTGCTGCCAGCAGTGATGAAGAGATTAATATCTGATTAGAGCATAAGATGTCTAATGTTTAATTTCATAACTGCCAGGATTGGGTTCATTGCTTTCATCTTAATGTTGGTTCCAATGGACCCGCCCTCCACACGGGGAACACATTTCTTCCTGAGCCTGTACAGCCCTCTAATGAACAGCAGCTGAGGAGAAAAATGAGCAGGGAACAATGTGTTTCAACAGGAGAGTGTGAGGGCCCTTCTTGCACAGACACACACACACACACATACATATATAAATACACAAAAGTAAACACACACACACACACACACATACACACACTCATGGACAGACAATTACCCAGTGTAATTTTTAGCACATGCACACTGGAGATTCAATCATGACTGCTCTCATTACAGCAGAAAATCAATCACTGCTGACAGGAAGGAAAAAAGGAAGAAATGGGAACAAAAACATGAAGCTCAGGTGATGTGGAGCAAACAAAAGAGATGCTGGCTTTTAATTAGATACTGTTGTCTGTTCCTTTCAAGTTTATTGACTCTGTAGAGATTTTATGTTTCTGTCTGGGCAGCAAAACCCAAAATATAAACTAGAATCTGGACAATGTGAAGACATGTGGATCAGAAAAGTCTTGCTCCCAAATCTTCAATAAAAAGATAGGCCTGCTGTGAGAGATGGAGCTGACCTCCAGGTATGACTAGGAGTCACTCTCACCACTCACTCTGAACAAGTTTGAAACCCACCTGAGCTGATACCGTAGGTGCAGTCTGGGGAGAATCTGGGTTCCGCTCCGCCGCTGCTGGCGCGTCGCTGCTGGGTACCGAGAGATGCTGCCGCCGCCACGCTGCCCGCCGCCGCCGCCGCCGCCGAGGTGGAAGTCGGGACCCTGCTGCTGGGCCTGCTCTCACATGGGAAACGATGCTGTGGCTGCTGCTGAGGCGACGGGTGATGCTGCTGGCTGCTGCTGATAGCGACGCTGGTTTGGTGGAGCGGCTGCAGACGCTGCTGCTGCTGCTGCTGCTGCTGGTGGAGGTGATGGTGCGGCTGGAAAGGATGAGGCTGCTCGGGATGGAAAGTGAAGTGATGTCCGTCACCAAAGAGAGGCACCTCGACCACAGCGGACCTGTCAAAGCGCGACTTGCCCGCCGAGCGCTTGCTCTGGAAGGTTTTCAGGGTGCTGTACGGACCCCGTTGTTGTCGGCACATCTTCGGGGCGCAGGGCCCTTCATCTGCGGGCTGCATCTCTCCCTCCATCCCGACCAGGTGTCACAGCGCGGCGGACGGCTGCGGGTCGGTATCGTGGCGTGCTGGTGTGACAGGCAGCTGAAGAGTGGGAGATCAGATCCGTCAGTGTCTGGCTCGGTTTCCCTACACACTGTGTGAAGGGTGGGCTAATTTACTGACAAGCCGCCGCTCCAATCCCCAGTCGGGAGCGCCGATACTGAGACTCCTCCAGAGGGAAATACAGGCGGGACTTGTGCGCCGCTGCCTGCCTCCTTTGTAGCCCACATCCACACAGAGAACAACGGGGCGCTACAGCAGTTGAACAATCTGACTGAATGAAAAAAAAACCCAACAAATGAAAAGGCAGAGGCCATTTTGCTACCGAGCTCAAAGCATTAATAGAGCGACATGAGCGCAAATGAAAAAAAAAAGAGGCGTCAATCCACATCCAAACACCAGGAGCTTAAATCGAGGAAACAGACATAAATATTTGGGGGTGCTTTTATTTTTTGTTGCTTTAAATGTTTGAAAAATCAATAACTGACAGTAAAAAAATATTTTAGTTTCTAACTGTCTACAACAGACCCTGAATATGAAGCTTTTATTAATTGAATCAAAAGGTTGAATGATATTTAATCTTCATGAAATTAGTCCAAAAGTCGATCATTTCAGCCACGACTTAACCTTACCTCTGACATCCAGTGTTACAGGCGGGTAACAGCTGTCCAGTTGCCCACGGGCCTAAAAGTTTGCAACGCCACGTGGGGGCGCCACATTATAAGTAACAAATAGAGGGTTTAATAGATGGACCTGCTGTTGATTTATTCTTCTTGTCAACAGGTCAGACCAGTCGGTGTTTTTATTTTTTGTTTTTTTTTTTTGCTCCTAATATCAAAACAAACGTAGGTGCTCAGTTTAAAAAAAAAAATCTAGTCACCAAACTGAACGCAGCTGCAAACCAATAATACAAGTTAGAGGCTGAATATGTAAATAACAATGTTGTCAAAACAAAAACATTTAAATGGTGATTATCATAAACCCTCAGCCTGCTATAAGCTGCTATATTCAGAAAATAATGGAGCATTTGAATGAGATGTCGGTCAGAGGATTTGGGAATTATTCTATAAAAGTTTCAACTCCCTCTGCTTGAATTATAAATCTATTAACATTTAGTTTAGTTTTATTTATCATATCTGACTATGTTAACCTGTTTTTAATCAGAAAAATACAAAGCTAAATAAGCAGCAGCTTATAGGAGTGATTTTTTCTCTGTAATCTACCTGGTTAAGTGTTAAAAAGACACAACAAATACAGATTAAAAATGACAAATGCTCAAACCTAGTTCTTGTAACCGTGGCACAGAAGAGAAATAATGTCCACAAACTGAGCCAGTAAAGTCAGTTACATAGCAGTATCTGTTCAGTTTAGATAACATGCTGGTCATACCAGACCGCAGCTCAAAACACTGACGGTGTTTTATTTCTTGTGAATTCAACTTTTCATTTGTTACAGAAACGCTGTATATTGTTCTTTCAAAACCTACATATTTTCATCATGTCTTATAAATATGCAGGTTTCCGGTGCTTTTTCTCTGAACCTGACACAGTTCCATTGTTCTTCATATCTTGACATTAGAGATATTTGCACTAAAGTCTCAACAGTAAAAACAGCAATTATATTACATTAGAGGCACAAACGTAAGTTAGATGTTTATCCAGTGCTCCTCTGTCATAGCTAATCTAAATGTTTATGCATGTTCTTTTGGCACCTAGAATCTGTTTGTGTTTTCCAGCAGGAATGCATCCCTGTTAGGTTTTGTTAATAATTCAATGGATTTATAGCGAAGATTAAATGTTGTTCAGTTTTTGCCATCATAAATGTGACTAAATAGGTTGTAGCCTTTTTAAAATTCATAAGAGTAAATGATAAAGTTGTGGTTCAAAAGGCTGGACGTGTGCTTTGTAATACCTACAAAGAGGAGGATACTAAAACAGGATTAAGGATAAAATTAACAATATTTTATATTTGATTTTTAGACTTCAAACATTAAAATTTGTCATATTTGTGTCGCCATAGAAATGAAAACAGGATGGACCAGAAGTCATGTATGCGTGTTATCTGGGTATCTTCATGCCTTTGGGAATTGCCATCGCTGATCACCGCGTCGCGTGAACGAGCACGTCGGGTTAATGGGGGTTACGTGCGCGCGTACACACACAGAGAGTCACAAAAGCAGCAAATCTCCCGTGAGGTGGGCGCACAACTTTTGCGAACAGACGGCCACCGGAGCTCGTTCAGCTCGTTTGTCAGAGAGAGTCGACAGAAACTCGCGGCCGGTTGTTTGGCTTCGCTCTGCTGGCTTTTTACTGCGAGTTTGGATCAGAGGAAAGTTGGTCGTGGTATTCTTTTAAAAAGTGACTTAAAGTCGTCAACCGAGGAGGATTCAATTAAGGATTTTCCGACACTGCAATCTGGCAACTTTTGTGTGAAAGCGGTCCGGATGCTGGAAGGATGAAGGTGACATAACTTTGTATCTTTGGATCAATCCTCTTCACATCACAGGTTCACTTTCAGTAAATTCATCTCCATGAAGAGTCTCTAACCCGGACTGACTCAGTCGGTGGCCGGGTGCTGAAGCCCACAGGACGCAGGGAACCGTGAACCCCAGCGGCTCGCCGGGATGGTGCGCCTGCTGAGCTGCCTGCTGCTGGGATATCTGACCTGGAATCTGCGGATATCGGACGCACAGGGGGAGTACTGCCACGGCTGGCTGGACGCTAATGGGAATTATCATGACGGCTTCCAGTGTCCAGAGGACTTTGACACCATGGACGCCACCGTGTGCTGCGGCTCCTGCTCGCTGCGCTACTGCTGCGCGGCTGCGGACGCACGTCTGGACCAGGGCAGCTGCACCAACGACAGGGAGGTGGACAACACCGAGTATGCAGCCCGTAAGTTCAATGTTTTTAAATTGTCTCCTGGTTCAGAGTCTTATTTTTAAGATTTGCCCTGAGAACTGCCCCTCTCAGGTGCATCACTTCAGCAAAACGTCACATAAAAGGGCAAATGAGTTCAATTAGGTTGGTTAAATACACGACAAAGTTCACCATTTAATTCTAAAAAATGCACAGAAATGCAGACATATTCAGTTTAATTTACGACGTGTTGAATCTGGTTGAACTTTAGGAAAGTTGTCGTCTACAGAGAGGTCAGAGGTCATCTGAAAAAGGAAGAAGCCTGGGGTTTTAGTGCCTTGCTCAGTGACACTTTGAGGACAGTGTCTTCACCCTAATGTCCTCTGAAATGAAGGAAATTATAAACACAATGCCCATCGGTGAAACAACTGTCTGTCTGTTCTGTGGGGCAACAACAGGCCTGCCTTTGTGGTTGGCCAACCTTCCAATACAACATATAAATGACTTTATATTAAGGTGTGTTCAATAGTTAAAAAGTAACAGAAATTCGAGCTCCCAAAAGAGACCGTGATGTTTTGAAAAACTGAATATTTCAGATGTGGTCTCTTTTTACAGGACTGGGAGTTTTCTTTCAACAGCTACTGTTTTCTATGCATTCAGTGCCCATTGAAATGTGTGTTTAAAATGTTGTGTCCATCCAAAGTGTCCGGTTTCCCGCAGCTGCTTTTATCTCAGCTCATGTGGTTTCATTTCACCTGGACTCACTGCAGAATGTTTTCAGAAAACGAGAGCAGTTTTTGATGGTGCAGCCTGTCAGTCACTCAGCAAGTAAAACTAATTCTTTACAAATCTTTAAGCAGAAATTAGGACAGAGCCTCATCTAAATGAACTGCATCACAACACAGGGACACTTTCTCACACAAGCTAACCTTATGCTGCCCAAACATGAAGCACATTGACCTCGACAGCTCACTGAAGTGCCAGCTGAAATAATCACAACATTAATGGGACAGCCGGTGGTTCTCTGTGGATTCTTTATACATTTAACAGGCTCAGAGTGTTGCATTCACCCACTGTTAATGGTGACGTTTTTTTTGACAATATGTCACTTTAGCCCACGAGCTTTTATCAGTTTTCTTTAAATTTCCCGAATGGATACGTTTATAGGTCTGTAACTGAATGGAGGGTGTGCACAATTTCCTAATTTTTCCCCTATCAAAATAAATAAACATTCATTGATACCCTCCCAGAGTGCAAAGGGGCTTCATGAAGTGTAACTTGAGATGTTTGTTTTCAGCAGGAATGTGTTGCTTTTAGGTTTTTTAAATAATACTGTGAAGGATTTAAAAAAAAAAAGAAAAAAAGATTAAATTAGTGTGACAATTTTAGCCACCATAAACAGCAGTATAGGTCAAGTCAGCACTTTACCTTAACCCCTGTTTAGGATTAATAAGCACTACATAAACAGCTAATGGTATATAACACATTATAATGTGGTTATAAGCAAATTTAAGTGTTTATTAATTTATTTATCAACAACTATAACTCCTCATGTGGACACTGAAGCGGAAGCTGCTGTATAAACAGATAAATGACAACAAAGTAAAACACAGTTGTAATAAACGTCCTCATAGCTGGAACCAGCCACATTCTAGTGTGTTATAAATCATTTATTAAATGCTGATCAGCAACGATAACTGAGACTTTTAAGTGTTGCAGTTAGAATTAAGTGCTTTGATTGAATTGAACATTTTCAGCCTTAAAATGTGTTAAAATGTGGAAACATTTTAATAACCTTTCTGAGCTGTCTGTCACAAGATGTTTCCTCACTGTTAGCCCTAACCTGCCTGTGTGTCCCGTCCCTCAGAGCCCATCTACGTGCCCTTCCTGATGGTGGGAAGCATCTTCATCGCCTTCGTCGTGGTCGGCTCTCTGGTGGCCGTCTACTGTTGCACCTGCCTGCGGCCCAAGCAGCCGACCCAGCAGCCCATTCGCTTCTCCCTGCGCAGCTGCCAGGGCGAGACCATCCCCATGATCCTCACCACGGCTCCTCCGAGCCTCCGCGCCCCATCGCGACAGTCCAGCACGGCCACCACCAGCTCCAGTTCGGCCGGCGGCGGCAGCTCCATGCGGAGATTTTCTCTCGGAGGTCAGGGGCAGCAGCACAACTGCCTGGTGTCTGCCACCATCTCCTCGTCAGCCTCCACCCCCACCCAGACCCCTCAGACTCTGCCTCCGCCTCCGCCTCCCCCCTATACATCCCCACCTGGACCCATGTCAGGAGGCATGCAGCACCCGCTGCCCTCCACCCACACCCAGCTGCAGCTCCATCAGCCCCCCATTCCCTCTCACCCCTCTCAGAGCACCGGGTTCCTGCTGCCCCAGCAGTACTTCTTCCCCCTGCAGCCTGACGCCTTCACAGCCGCCAAGGGCTTTGCTGACTTCGGACAGAGCTGACAGGGCTCCCAGTAGGGGAAATAGAGGGATTACAGGATTTCTAGATGGTGGGTTGACCCGGTGGGGACAAACACGCTGCAACACAGCTGGTGGTGTTTGAGTGGAGAGCTTGAGCCGGCTGAACGGACACAGAGAGAGCAACAGCAGGACGAGCGACCAAGTACAACAAAGCTGCTGTGGTTGAACATCGTGGCCTGAGGCGTTTCCTGCTCTGCAACACAGGGCACATCAAAGTTCAACAACCCTGTTACAGACAGCAACAGTTCTGAATCTTATGCACTTTTATATCATATTGTAAACACAACTCTGTGGTCTACATTTTATTTTTTATACATACTGTCTTTCAAGGTGGACGTTTACAATTCAGACTGAAATCTTGTCAATTTATCACATACCTTCCTTAGAAAACAGAAACACTGTACAGGCGGACGGCTCCAACACCGTCACTCTGAGACTCTGCTGAGCGCTGTTACATTATTAAAGATATAGTAGATGTTGGAAACCAGGGAATTATGTTTTTTTGACAATCGCGAGGACCTCTGAAAGAGAGGGGGACCTGACACACAAAGGTCATGTTATTTTGGAGGAAATGTGGACTTTTATATGATGTGGTACAAGCTCAACTTACAGCAAATAAAATGTTGCCTCTCAGTATCTTCTGTGCACTGGTAAATTTCAAAGAAACAACTGATGTATTACATTTTTAACGTTCAAACAAAAAACATGTGTCCAGAAAGAAGCCTCAGACAGAAAGGAAACCGGAGCGGTCGGGTCTGCACAGCAGCTCCCTACCTGTCGCTCATTCTTGCGCCAGACTTCACAGCAGGAATGCAGCGCTGAGATCAGTCATTGTCAGTGTTCAATGAGCATGGCATGGTCACAGTGTTAAAAACAACTCGTCCCAGAAATAGAGGTTTAGGTTGCACCAACAGGTATGGCAAAATCTCCACAAAGACTCTTCTGTTTTCCGGTTATCTGACTGTGAAATAGATTTGGCAATCAGCGTCTCATGAAACCTGTAAACTGCTCAGTCTGAGGGTGTTTGCTGCCACGTTCAGGATTCCCTAAAATCTCTGCTATTATCAAAACAAAACTTCCATGATTAGTATTTATCAGATTCCAGTGTTAACCTTCTCACGTCTTGTTTATTATACCTGCGGCTGTCAGTTCAGACTTCTGTATCACATTACACACTCTGCTTATAAAAAGGAAAATGCAAGTTGTGAACATGTTTTCATGACATTTCCTAAATCTTTTGGATAGGTATATTCTTTTATGTCTTCGCCAGGCCTCGGAAAAGTTTCCAATGTCTTTTCCAAGTTGCCCACGAAGGTAGAAATTTCTGTTTATTATTCCTCACACTGAAGGCCGTTAATATATTCTGTCTTGCGTTTAACTGAAATTCACTTTTTCCTTTCCCCTTTTGTCCGACTCCTAAAATTTTTGAAAACTCTCATTTATCACTGTGGTAATAAGACCGAGAACACAATGTTAGAATCCTTTAATTCTTCACAAAATCAAACCCCGTTTTTGACACAACTTATTGGCAGTATTTTTTTTTTTTTTTCAGCCACAGTCATTCATTGTATTTATACAGTGTAATTACCTCTGTATATAGTAGTTTTCATTGTTAGTGGTGGGCCCTGCATTCCTGCCTGGATACAAATTGCTTTCAAACATGAGGGATTTACAGAGCGATGCAGCATGTAGTCCAGTGTTAGTTTGTGATTTTATATTATTACTCTCTACAGCCTCATCGTTTGCTTCTCACTCACTGGATCAGAACTGTGAGTCACTGCTAATGAAAACCCAATATTTCACAGTGCTGCTGCTTCACAGTAAAAGCCAAACACGAGGGTGACTTTTACTGTGAAGCAGTCACAGGAAGCACGATGTATTTGGCACAGAGGTTTAGCACTGATCACCAAGTTCATCAAAAATACATCTACAAAACAAGAAAACAGCCACTTTACAGGGGAGCCGCGGAATGAGAGAGATCGAACACACATACCAGCTGCTCTTCACTTGCAATTATTTTTACTGACGTCTTTATTAAACTTTTTGTTTGGCTGCACTGTAAACAGATACAGCAGCTGCTCTTCTGTTGCTAATCGAGTTTTTTTTGCTGTGGTATTAAACTGCACTTTCTGTAACCACAGGTGTCACCAAGTCAACCAGGACTTAAATCATTTTGTCAGCCACTTATGTGATGATTCTTTTCTCGATGTTGTTTGGTCTATAAAATTCCTCCAAATAGTTATGTAGTCAGTCACAGTTTCCTAAACCTCGAGGTGCTGTCTTAAAATCCTTGTTTTGTACGACCAACAGTCCAAAAGATACTTGATTTACAATGGTTAGAAAAAGGCAGAAAGCTGGAGCAACTGACATTTTGTATCTTTAATTGATAAATTGATTATAATTGATCACAATAGTTGCCAGTAGATTTTCCTAAACTTTTAACTTCGTCTGGAAGTTGTATCCGCTCAAAAAATGATTTCAAATGCTGAACACGAAAACAAAGCCCTGAAGTCAAAGTCTACTTGGGTCACTTTTAATTAAATCTGGACGCACATCTGTTACAGGAACAGATTAGTGTCTGTTTGGGATCAGAGACACAAATAGGTTGACTAAACACCATCACAATAACAAATAACGACTATGTATGTCATTTGTTTGTCCTGCATGCAGCCTGATGTTTCTCCCTGCCTTTTCCTGTTTAGGTTCTCTGTCCTGTTTGTCACCACACACAGGCACAAGAAGACACACCGATTACAAATCTGCAAATACACACGAATTACAAAGGATGTACACATTGTTCCTCCATCATTGTAAAGTTTATTTCAGTAGTCCTTCATGGCAGTAAAAGACGACACTTATAAGTTTGCAGTCCCAACATGCAGAACAATCATTGAACAAAATGACAAAAAAGAAATGAATACTGAAAATAAAAGTTAAAAGGTGCATTTTTTTCTCTTTTGTAAAGTGATCAACACTCGAGGGAGAATCAAAGTAGTACAGTTAACACTTCAGAGAACAGTTTGTGTTATCCATTCATGCAGCCCACGACTTTCACAGACAACAACATGTTTTATGTTTTCTGGAAAAAGAAAGCAACAGTCCAAGCCTTCCACAACGACGACATCCACATTCAGCAGTTTGGAAATTTTCGACAAGATGACAACTAATTAAGTTTTAACACTAAAGACCAGCAGAGAAAAAAAAAATCATTAACCCTCACTAAACTGAGAAACACAAAAGAGCTTTCCTGTAAAGCAGAGGTACACTGCATGAATGAAACAAGTTACAACCATGTACACTCAAGAGAAATAATTTACCGAAACCAGATACCAGATATCCACTACTGGAAAGGTACATCGAGTGCATTGTGCAACATCTCCTGTCGAAGCGAGCTGAGCATCAAAAACTCCCACAGTCGAGGCTGAGAGTTTGACCACAAATATGCACGCACGCACGCACGCACGCACACACACAGTCATACTGCACACTGACACTCTCACCTTCCCATATGGGCCATGCATCAGCACACAGTAGTACACCATAGCTATACCTGGAGTCGTGCAGACGGACAACTGGAGCAAGCGTCACACACACAGACACACACGATAAAAGAAACACACCAGGAGAACTCCCAGTCTCACACAGAGGACACAGACATGCAACGCATACATAGAAGTTATCCTCTGCAGAGGTCTCACACACACACACACACACACACACACACTCACTCTCTCTCTCTCTCTCTCTCTCTCTCTCTCTCTCTCTCTCTCACACACACACACACACACTCTCTCTCTCACTCACATACGCGCACACACACCCACACCCACACACACAGACAGCACATGCACATGCAAGCAATAAACCGACACACACACACCATCAGAAATCTGATCTCCCATAGGGAGAAGAAAGCAATCACACAGACATTAAGTAGTCAATCATAAATAAATCAAGCTATAACAATATTAATATTAATATTAACAAGACATTTAAGAAAGCTCAGTTTCCTCATTCGATCTATTCTATCCTGCCAGTTTATCAGAGGAAAAAAACAAAAAGTTACAGACGAGTCATTACAAAGCCAGTCAATGCAAAATTCATACATCTCCAATATAAAAATACAAATCCACAAAATAACTATAGAGACAAAGTAGTTTTGATAATGTTGTGGAGTTTTCCTGGCTAATATTTCTCTCTCCCTTAAGCTAATGGCACTTATGTTAGAAGGATAAAATCTCCATTTGAAGGGAAACACTATCACCACCTTAAGCTTCAACAAGACCATCAGACAGCCTCCCGTTCACCTCTGCAGGAACAAAATCTTCACTTTTACATGTGCCATAAGGCACTCTGCAGTTTTCACATTGTATGACTGCAGTACTGTGGTGGGGGAGACAGTGGTTTTGTCTTCAGTAGGTGTGTGTGGAGCACTGGTCTAAGCTAGCTGGTTAGACTATTCTTGGCTATCGTTTTCTTCTAAGAGGGAAAAGTTCTACGTAGGCACCGTCGTGATTGTTGAGACAGGAGTGATGTGTGGAATGCAATTATTCGTCAAGAGCAATGCTTCTGCTGTAAAAACGGTGGAAACAGGACTACTGTATGTTGCAGGAGGCAACTTCTTAAAAACAAAAATAAAAAGGTGTAAATAAACAGAACCAGGCACAATATCTACATACTTTAAAAATGAAACTAAAAAAAGAAAATAAATGTATTTTAAAACAAACGAGGATGAAGGCATGAGTAAATGTAAGGCTTTACACAAGAGATGCTTCCATAAGTGCAAAAAGAAAATTTAAATATTACATATCTGCTCTGAAGCGGTCCATTTAGTGTTGGAATACACTCAGGAGTGTGATTACATTTGGTTTTAAGTTTTCCAAATTCACTAGTACTTTGAAGATTGTATATACGACTGCTCTTTGGCAATCTTTCACAAGTTCAAATCCTCTAAAACTAATCATCATCCAGTGTTTTAACTTTTTAGAATAACAGTATTTAGGAGTTTGATTTTAATTCAATAAAATAATTTTTGGCTCAGCGCTAAAACTGTCTTTCCTTAAATCAATAGATAGGAGACGGTCACTCCGAGAAACTGAGCGAGAACATTGAAGAACTTCAGACCACAGGCTGCTAAGAAAGCACAGTGCTCATCATGTCTGCTGGACACACAACTACAGCTGAAATGAACACCGTTTGTTTTGTTCCTTGTTTTTTTTTTTTTTTCCCTTTTCAAAGATTACACAACGTCACTCTCCTCTGTTCCTTTCATATTCTGTCCAAAATCTCCTTCATTGCTGGAGGCACAAGCTCACACTTTGGCCTCTCCCCTCTAAGCTTCAAATATTGCCATTAGAAACGGCTGTCGTGGCTCCGGATTGGCCAGCCTGGAACAAGAAGGCCGGCGGCTCACCACTCGTTGGTCCTCTGTTTGGTGGTGTCGTACGCTCTGATGACCTCAGACTGGGACACCACTCCGTTCTCGTCTTGAGAGAAGGCGTAGCCGTCTGAAAAGGAGGTCAGAAGGAGTTAAATCTAAGGTCATGTAGATCAGTGATTACCTTAATAAAAAGTATAGAAAATGTGTATAAAAAACACAACTTAAAATAACTGGATTAACAGAATAGATGACTCAAAAGTAAGAGCTTAACATTTTGGAAA